ACGATTATTGCGACTAATACTAGTATTAATACTACGACTACTACTACTACTACTACTACTACTACTACGACTACTACTACTACTACTACTACTGCTGCTACTACTACTACTACTACTACTACTACTACTACTACTACTACTAGCACTGCGACTACGACTACTGCGACTACTACGATTATTGCGACTACTACTACTAGTACTACTACTACTACTACTACTACTACTACTACTACTACTACTGCTGCTACTTCTTCTTCGATCACCGACGACGATAGGATGTTTGGTAAAACTGATGGATCTCCCCGACTCCAGAACTGGCGCGGGCTTCCACTTGCGGTTCCCTTGCTCCTGCCCTTGCCTCTTGCTTGCCCTTTCTCTCTCCCTCTCTCTTCACCGCCGCTCCGCGGCTCAAGGCTTTCTAAGGCCAAGCTGGGGGTCGGCCTCAGTTGGCCTAAGGCCGGGCCCCGGAGGGGCCAGAAGACTCCCAGGCCTGGGTCCAGGCCTGGCAGGGGCGCCCGCGGCCGCACGATGCCGCGCCTGGCGCCGCGCGGCTGGTGGGCGGCAGCGTCGCCGCCCGCGGGCGCGCAGCTGCGCAGCGGTGGGGGGCCTGGGCGCCGAGCGGCGCCGGCTCACGCCAGCCGCGGAGCACCCGGGGGCGATGCGGCATCCGTCGAGGCGGGGCCGCCGAACCCCCCCGACGAGCCAGCAGCCAGGCGCGAGCCCGCGCCGGCGCTGGCGCAGTGCCAGGCGGGGGCCGCAGGTTGCGCGTGCGCGCCGGGGCCCGCCTGGAGGAGCTGCCCCAAGGCCCAGGCGCCGCCGCCGGTCGGCCGGCGCCGTGGGCGCGCGGCAGCCCTGATGCTGATCCTCGCGATGACCGCCGGGATCGTCGATGCCGACGCCAACGCCGAGTCCGCGTACTACGACGACAACGTGGACATGAGGGAGTTCTGGCTCGATGTGCCCGTGGACCCCTCGATGCACGCGGGCGCGCTGCCGGACGGGATCCACTCCACCGGCGGGCGCGCTGCGCCTGCAGGAAGCAGCGGAGGGGGACCGCCGCGCGAGCGCTCCGCGCCGCCGGCTGGGCCCCCTCCCCAGGGTCCGACCCACCCACCCCCCGACCCCCCCGATGGGGATCCATCGTCCTGGATCAGAGGTTGGGGTCTTTTCGGCATCAGCTGGAAGGACATCGGCAACCGCACCTACTGGTTTGCCGAGGGGATGGGTGGGGGTACCTTCAGGGCCGTGGGGAGCTTCAGGTCTGCCTTCTCGACTCGCGAGGCAGGAGGTTGGCTTAGCTCAGAAGGTGGCTGGGTGCTCTACATGACGGACCAGATGGGCCTCACCCTGTTCGGCTCCGCGTGGCCGCTGATCGCCGGGCTCGTGGCGGTCTTCGCCGGCACCGGGATGGTCGCGCTCTTGGCCCACAGCCTGAGGACGCTCTTCGCACCCTGTAGCTGGGCGGCTTGGACCTGCGGCTTGGTGCTGGCATGCTGCCCTTGCCCGAGGCGCCGTACGCCTGGCGAAGTCAAGCTCGACAAGCTGGTTCCGCCGGCGGCCCCGCCGCTCACCGACGTGGTGTGGCATGGGCCGACCACCGGGGCCGACCCGACGACTGACTGGTATCGCAAGAGCATCAAGGAAGGCCGGGGCTCCAAGCGCGGCCAGAACGACCTCACGATCCGGGTGGACTACAGGGTTGCCCGGCTCAAGCTCAACATGAAGTCTCCTGAACGTATCAACCGCCAAGGATTGTGGGTGGAGTACGATTCCGTGAAGGGGGCCAGCGACAAGAGCTTCCGGCGCGAGCTGGAGCAGCGGGATCCTCGCTGGCTTCACCTGTGCCGTTCTTCGAGCTGTACTGGGTGCAAGGGGCGCGAGAACGAGCTGCATTGCAAGGAGTACGCGGCCCTCGACAACGAAGCCATCGTAGACCTCGGCGACTATTCGAGGTTCACACCCTGCCGGATCTTCGTCTGGCTCTGGAGGGGGACGGGTCTTGTCTACAAGGTGCTACTGTACATCCTCTCGTGGTGCTCATGCTGTGGGGCATGCCTCTGCCGCCGGCGCCGCCGCCGTCCTAAGACTGGCGATGCGGAGCCTGGCGTGCAGGGGTCAGTGGCAAGGCTACTTGACCAGGAGTCCGAGTCCGAGGTGGATGCCGAGGACAACCCTTGCGAGGCGGTGAAAGTGGGGCTCATGATCAAGGGCAAGATGCGCCCACTGGCTCCCGAGGGTTGTCGAGACGCTGCACGAGGGGACCCTACTGTGCTGCTGGTGGAGGACGGGCGGGCCTCGGACCTCCCTCTCCCAAGTGAGGGGAGCGCAACGGCCTGCCTCTGCGAGCATCACCGGCAGATCTACATGGTCCTGCGCTACGGCGAGAAGTGCTCTCAGGTGACCTGCTTCCGGGAAGCGGTGGGCATGGCCTCAGGGGTTCCTCTCTGTCTGCAACACCTTGGGGGTGACGCAGCCCGTGCAATACACGACAACCCAGCAGGAGTCGGGTTCTTCGCAGGACTACGGCGCCGAGCTCGGCGGAGTCCTGCAGCACGGAGCCGCACACCAGAGCGGGCAGCTGCCGCCCCAGCCAGGAGCCGCACTCCAGAGCGCACCGCACCCCCGCCCTCTGCTCGAGAGGCGCCCTCCAGCCCTGGCGACCCCGTCCCGTCGCCGGCTGGGCCACCGAGCGTGCGCTTCGAAGCGCCGCCGGTTCCAGGCTCCCCCAAGCCGCCAACTCAGCCGCCTATGCCCCTTGGACAACACTTCATTCTACGGGCGAGGGTGCATTGGCCCGAGGGGGCGCAGTGGATGATTTTCAGAGGGAAGGCAGTCGATGCCGTCGCGGCCAGCACGGTGGCCGACTACTTCGACGGTGCGCTGGCGCTCGAGGTGGCAGACCCAGCAGGCGTCGCCATCCGCTTCCTCGTGAAGCCCGACGGCGTTATCCGTGCGCCGTCTCCAGGACCCTCCGGACGCCTACCCGCAGGGTTCATCGAGGAGCTACTCCACCACGCACCCCTGGGATGCGAGGAGCTCGGCATCGGCGTCTCGGCGACCAACGTACCCGAGAAGGTTTGGCACAAGCTGGCAGCTTGGCATGGTCTGCCCGTGGGTGGCCGAGCTGGCCCACTCAGCGAGACACGCTGGCGGCTGCTCAAGGAGAAGGTGGTCGACCTAGTCAAGTGGCACCCTGAGGGGGGCGTGGCACCCAGTCCGAGCTTCGAAGCGCAGGCCACCGAGGCGGACGCCAAGCTGCGCAGCCATTGGCGGCGGCTCGATCGCAGCAGCTCGCCCAGGCCGCCCTCGGGGTCAACAAGAAGGAACTCTCGTTCGCCGTCAGCTGAGGGCGGACGAGCAGCCAGCTCTGAGGCGCCCGCGTCAGGAGAGAGTCATCAGGGAGATGAGGGAGGAGACATGATGGCCTGCTACTTGGAGGAGAAGGCCCGTGGGTCAAGCGATGCGGCCGCTGTGCAGAGCGTGGCTGCTGGCTTCGGTGAGGAAGCCCAGCAGGTGCTCGCCGGCCTCATCCGATATGCTCGATACCTCAAGCAGCAGACGAGTGAGCCTGAGGAGCTCGTACGACTGGATGGGCACATTGGCAACTGGGAGGTGCTCCAGCAAGTGCCCTCGCGACCACAGACCCCAGAGGCATCACCTAGCAGCCTCCAAGAGCTCCTCAAGCTCTCACCCGAGCACCACCGCTCACAGGGGCCGCCGGCCTCCACGGCTGACAGCGCGCCCCTGTTCGAAGCACACCCACCACTCTCTCCAGCGGTCGTCCTGCCGGCCTTTCCTGTCGGACAACGGGACGCCGGCCTCCCAGCTACCACGGCTGGGTTGGGCCCGGTCGTCCGCCCCCAGGCGCCGAACATCAGGTCCCTGTTTTGCTACGACCAGCACGTCAGTGACTTGGGCCTGCCTCCAGGTTTGACCACAGCACCAG